CAGATTCAGAGATTGCCGCCCGGGACCCGGGAGTTTGCTGTACAGCACGAGAAAGAACTAGCTACTGTTGTAGAAAACCTCAGGAAAGCCCAGCAATGATAGAACAAGCAAACAAACATCGTCGCCCTTCACAGTTTCAAGTAGGCGACTTAGTCTGGGTCAGTTCTAAAGAGTTTATACCTGAGGAGAACATCTCGCAGAAGTTACTGCCCACATATAGAGGACCGTGGCATGTTCTGGAAGTCAAGGGCGGCGAAGATGGACCGTCCTACACCATAGAGTTGCCAGCACACCTCCACACTTACCCAGTTTTCCACGCATCAAAGTTGTTACCGTGTCAAACGAGTGATCAGTTTCCATCCCGTAGGTCCATGATCCCACCGGATATGGATGGAAGATACGACATTGATGGAATAGTGGCTGAAGATGTAATCAGGACTAGAGGTAGGGGTCGTCCACAGAAACAGTACATGGTTCACTTTAGTTATCAAGAACCGGAAGACGACCGCTGGTTTACTAGATCTGAACTTCTAGAGACAGCTCCCAACATAGTCCGGGCCTACGAAAGACAGCAAAAGGGTAAAGGTCCTGCCTTGGACTGAAAATTTCTCGGAGGACCTCGAATTTAGGCTGGCGGGAGTGAAACGGAATTCACCACTTCGAAGTAGCTGATGCAGAACCCAGGGCTCGATCCCTAGTTCCCCAACTTACCTGTGTACAATATCTGTGTCAACTCGAAGAATTGAACCTGCGACCTGTAGAACCGCCAGTGGTATGTAGGTCTGTCGTAGGTCTATAGGTAGCCAGGATTCGATCTGTAGACCTGTAGATTAGAAGTCTAGCTGCAGTCCTTCTAGAAGGTTGGCAAGTGGTCAAGTAGTGCAGGCAAGTGGGCAAGTGGTGTGACTAAAGCAAGCCCATGTTGGAGACGAGGACAAGTGGCAAGGGCAAATAGTAGGACCCCAGTGCAACTGCACTGCGTCGTATGGTAGTCGCCATGCAGTCATGGGAGAGTCTAGAAAGTACCAGTCCGGTCCAGCAAGTACCACGGGGGGGGGGACTGTGTGCACCATGGGCCAGGGACACAGGGCAGACCAATGCAGCGCAGAAGTATAAATCAAGAGGCTGCGTCCAGCCATTCATTCATTCAGGCGGAAGCCATGCGGTAGCGCTGCCACAGCGTCTAGTGCAAGGAGGTCTGCTGGAGGCCCGAAGACGAAGGGGGCAAGAGTGAAGCACTGTAGTCTTAGCGATAGGTRGCGGCAGCCATAGCTGCCATAGTTCAGTGTAGAGAGCAGAGTGTGTGTACTGTGTGTGTGTTGCGTATGATAYTGAGTGTTGCGTGTGGRACATCCAGGGTGATCCAGAGTGCRAACAGTGAGTTGTGTGGGCRCTTAGTCGCCATAGCCAGTTTAAAGAGAACTCTTACCTGGTTACGATATCTTTGAGTACTGTGTGGGCGCATGTCGCCAGTTTGCTGTTTCGCTGTTTGCATGCATGACAAGTGTGAAGAAGACGAGTTTGATTTCAAAGAGATGTGCTCATCTCCGACTGTCTGCCTCATGATCTGAAGGCCAGCTGCGCATAAGAAGCATTGGAATTTGGCACACAGTGAGGCGCCCACAGCCCACTTGGCTATAGAGTATTGCTCTGAGAACAACCGCTCACGACAATTTCATTCCATCCGCTCACACACAAGATGACGCACACAAAAGCACAAGGGARATGTAAATCGAAAGTAGTCTCCACCAATCAACTCGATTACACAGAATTGTTTTTGTACAGGAAGCAGCTTTGGCTGCCAAGCCGATTTTCACAGGTATGGTCTCAGTATCTCTGCCTCAGTCCTCTCTCCCTCTCTGGGTCCAAAATCTTGTCTCTCTGAACACCCTCTCGAACAAGCCTTGTTCTCTTGCTCACTCATCTAACCTAGCTGTGGCACTCAGCGCCATTGACTCCTTCCTACGGCCAGCRCAAGACAGCAGAACCGAAATGCCACACCGCACAGCATCCAAAATTACCGCGGAAGCGCTTCCACAAGGACTCGCAAGTGAATATCTGCTGATGACTTCAACAAATGGACTTCTGTACTAGATGATTCGCTTCCCGGACTCTTCAGACCAGATATSGGTCTGGCAGTGGCGATGTTTGTCGCTTCCAGAAGTCCGGAGACTTTCCTCGGACTTTGCTGCTGACTGCACTGAACTGACAAAAGGGCCTAACAACTTTCTAGTCTTTTCTGACCCTTGCGGGGCTACCTACAGGAATTTTCCTACGGCGGCTTACAAACACGACCTTACCAAGGACTTACTGAATAAGATAGGCACAACTGGGACTGCCAATGGAACTGGGAAATGGGAGTGGAACCAGGTCTGCATCAGTGAAACACTTTCAGTACTATGTTAATGCGTGGAGAAATTGGGGCAGGGGAGGCAGAGGAATGACACCAAAGAACTCAGAAGACAAAAAACTTGCTGACAAGATTTGAGAATATATTCAGAATAGAAGGAGCCAGGACCATAAGGCCCTGTTGTTTCAAAAAAAAAAAAAAAAAAAAAAAAAAAAAAAAAAAAAAAAAAAATTGAGAATATAAAACTTCCAGCAAGGTCGTCCATTCTGAGACTATACCGGGATAGAAAAGAACAGAGCACCATGGACGAGGCAAAAGGCTTTCATAAATAGAATGGAACTCACAGTGATTCAAGGTGTGAATAAGATCCATATCGGTCAGGAATTGGTCCATAGAACGCGTTGCCATCAAGCACCCTGCACCCGAAAACAAATGAACAAATGCAAAAGTAAATATCGAATGAGAAATATAGATAACGGATGTGAAAATAATCAATAGATGTGAAAAATAAAAAAAAGGCATGTGTTTCTCAGAAATGATTCTCTCTCGTCGCGTCAACTGCGCCCCAGAGCACATCAAAAACATAGGAGGCAAATGATCTCAGAAGATTATCTGAGAGGCTTGAACTTGGACATGAAGCCAGTGCTTTCATCACTTCCGGGCACGAGGAGAAAATTACAGGGAAAAGGACATCACTCGCTTCAAACCTGTTGTAAACCAGAAACACATACCGCCCCTCGAGAACTGCCCCTGCACTCCTTACCGTCTACCAGGCATGGTTAAGCATTACACCTGGGGTATTTATAATATGAACTCACAGCAGGCTGAGTCCATTCAATTGTTTTCAGTGACAAAGGGAATCAGCGATGAAACCTGCTCATGTACATAGGGTAAACGACATGTCAACCAGCAATCCTAAGTACTCCTGGGTTTGTATTGTTCAATCAATGAAAACAGCTGTGCCTTTTTCCASAATTCCATGGAGCAAGACTTCCTGTACGAGAACTTGTCAAAAACCTGCAAAGAGGAACGGAAATGCATATCGTTTATAAATGGAACGCTGGACTCGATATCCAGCAGGTGAAACTCCCCACCAATAGATATCAGCAGGTGAAGCTCCCCAAAAACAGACTGGGAGATGCTYTTACCACTTCCGGCACTTGCCGCCACGCAAGGTTAAAAAARGGAAAGAAAAGAAAAAAATCCCCACGCAGAATTTGAGGAATTTTTACATGTGAGCATATGTTTTATGGACTACTTCAGAGATCCCCAGACCCAGCTCAATGGCTCTGGAATCCAAAAATGACCTCTTCCTGCAGACACTTGCCTGCCTAGATGTGGCTTAGGCCATCTGTCTTGAAGAGAGATCATCCAGGCAAATCACCTCAGGATATGTTCCATCACAAGTTCTGTGGTGAAGTGAGGGCCCAACCCAGCACTGAGAAGAATCTTGGACATCAGCGGTTCACCTGGTGAGACGATCAAGTCTCCCTGTGCCTGTCTGTAATCAGCAGACCATTTAGAGGACTGTGCCACAGACCAGTCTCCACGTGGACCATCCCTACCCAAAAACATGGCTGGATTTTTGGGGCCCAGCAAGCTAGCTTTCAAGTCTTCTTCTTTGAACAAACATGTCCGTCCAATACTGCCAGAGTCACAGTGGGACCTTCTGGAGTGAAATCGCCTGTACGCCAGGAAAAGTACTACTGTGAGTACAACCCAAAGCTTCATGTTCTTAGCATCCCCAATCCATACTCTTAAAGAGGCAGTTCGATGGTACACCCCTGAACTGTTGAAATACAGACTCCATTCAAATTCCACGCAGGTAGACACCCATACAGAAATCAACCACGTTTTTTAAAAGTTCCCCTCAAGGAAGCAAAAGAGACGTGGCAAAGAAAGAAAAGTAGCAAGAACACAGACTTATCAAAGAGAAACTGCAGAGGGAGAAGAAAGGAGGGAAGCAGGTCCTTTGGACATCCGTTAAAATTGGAAGGCTACAGAGGAGATTAGAATGGCCCATGCACAAAAAAAAGGGAAAAAAAAAAAGGAAAAACACAAAAGAAAAGAGGGAAGCAGAACTTTTACTTACAGTTGTCTAAGCTCCGTAAGGCCGTCCAGCAGTGGTAATGTTCCCTGGAGTCCCAGTGAGCTCAGTGTCCTGCAAATAAACAAAAATGTCAGTAACATGGTTTGTGAAATGACTGATCACACTAAAGACTTTGACTGACAAGTCTGCAGTCCGCACTTCACGATCAGGAGTTGAGAACATATATAGGTCCAGTAGCTCGTCATTCGTTCTTCGTCAGAAAAGCTCTTAAGATTACTATGTCCCACAGCATTTCAAAGACTGCCCACTTCTCATCACAGGACGCGGTATGTCGGAAAGAAGAGGAAACAGTAGATAAGAATGACAATCACATGGCAGGCACTCAGGCTACTGATTATTTCTAGAATAGTGCAGCATTTGGACTTCTTTTTGTTCTACTGTACCCTGTGCAGCCAGCCACACAGGCACCAGGTCCCACTAGCAAAGAGGATTGGATTRAACTCCTRAATCTGAATGTATTYTATGCMKATGSYATGTACCAGATTGAACTTCAATCCACAAAGAAKTTACAYGTTCCCATACACKCATGCAATTGCAGAGTGGACTCAAGCGAGGCAAATCCACACAAAACCGGAGAGAGAGATGCACAGCGGAAGCTCAATACACAAGGAGAATTGAATATGAAATTCAATTCTGATTTATCCCTGTCCTCCTCCAATCAATCCATACTACTCTAATCCAAGAATCACAATCCCGCGTTTTCAACAACCCCGCACAACCAAAATCAAATGTTCAACGAAGTACTCAGGACTCTTCTTCTTCCTCCTCGCCACCTCAAAAAACCTGGCTATGGCTGCCGTAGCAGCAGAACCCCCAAACAGTCACCCCGGGGTCAATGTGAACTAGCCACCCCGACAATAACAGTGCCAGCTCAACGCCCGCACGGAAGTGCAGCACTGGGAATCCTAATGAAGACRAAGAAGACCAATCAACAACTYGAAGACGAGAGTTCCTCGTGAGAAGGAACTGCAGATATGGCTGCCAAGTAGGAAATTATGGCAGCGCCCCTGCCCCACAACACAGTCCGGTGGAAGCTCTCATGCAGCGCTGCAAAACAGTAGCAGAGAGCCCGGTCCCAANTTAAAGAATTCTTGCGGAGTTTGGGGGATCTCCTTAAATGCCTCCTGGTCAGCACAGTCTGTAGTGACAGCCCTAGGTCTAGGCTAGAGACCGTAATAGTGTTAGTGTAAAGTCAGAGACTGATCTCTCCTGGAGGAAAGGCTCCTCCCCTTTGTGGGGAAGTGGTTAGGGTTGCCGGCCTACCTGGGGCCATAGGTACCCAGTGGGACCCTAATCCCGTGAGAGGGAAGTTTCGTGTTAGTTATTGGAGTCTACGTCAGTTAGTAGGTCAGTGTGTCCGGGTAGGTCTACGTGGTGAGGAGTGGGACCCCTSTCGTGCACCAACACCACGATGGATGACTACCCGATGTATGGGGTACTTGTTGGGTTCTCCCTCTGGGGGACCCTCTGGCTTCTCCTCTTTCCTCTGGGCTTTTGGCCCACTTTCACGTGTAGAGTAGGGCCCAGTCGCGGTGGGACGTCCACCACCCCCTACACGAAGGAGGAGGAGGAGAAGATGGCCGCCCTTCTACAGGAGAAGAAGGAGAAGAAGGAGGCCAAGAAGAAGGCCTTGAAGGAGGAGCAGGCGGCCAAATTAAAAAAGATGGAAGAAGAGATGGCCAGGGAGAAAGAGAAGTTGAAAAGGGAAGAAGAAGAAAAGTTGAAGGAGATGGATGAAGAAGAGGAAGGTCCGCCACTGCAAAAGAGTAGTGGGCAGCCCAGTAGCGGTAATGGTGGGAACCTAGAGAAGAGAATATCCGAGTGGGTTGCCAACCTGACTGTGGGAGAAGAGGAAGAGGTTAGTATGTACATCCCACAGGATCAGCAAGAAGTTGCCATGAAGGCTTGGGAGGCAGAGAAAGACCCTTTGAAACGTCAAGCGTTGGAAGACGAGAAGAGGATGGAATGGAAATTAGCGGTGATGCGGGAGAAGAAGAGGAGAATTGACAAGGCAGCGAAGGCGGTAGAGGCCTTAGAGGAAGTGAAGAACATAGAGGTGCAATTAGCCGCCCAGCCCGATCTCCCGAATCAGATACGAGTCATAGCTCGAAGTGTTGCATGCCTGGCACGAGTCCAAGCAGACCAGTATGACTTCAGCAGGAGTCAAGATATAGCTGTGCGCTCAATACGATTGGGCTTTAGGGACTTTGCTCGTGAGCTGGTAGGCGCCGTTGGGGCCGAGGTGGGTCATCGCCTCGACAAGACTGAGCGGTTCTGTGCTGGCGCCATTGAAGGCGTCAAGGCGGCAGCCCCCAAGGAAGAGGAACCACGCCCGCCACGTAGAGAGCCGATCAAGGTCAAATTCCCGGATTCCTACAGTGGGAAGAGGGAAGAGAACTTTGATAACTGGGAGGCCAACGTCAAGACCTATGTGCATTTGCAACAGGTCTCCCCGGATCAACAGGTCTTGATTGCGATCCACGCGCTTAAAGATGAGGCCGCCAGTTTTGCAAGGTCCTTGGTTCGTGCCGCTAACTGTAGCGACGATCCCRTTGCCTACTCCTCGTTTACCTCCCTCACCGAATTCCTGAAACTGCTGCGCGAGCGATTTGCTGATGTCGCCCGCAGTGTTAAGGCTTCAGATAAGCTCCAAACCATCCACGCTCGTAAATGGAAGAGTGCTAGAGCACTCAAGGGTACGATGGATGAGTTGGTGGCCGTCCCTGACCATAAGGTCACA